AGTTGTAATGGTAAAACTTATATTTTGGTCTATTTTAATGTGGAGTCCATTTATTTAAAACTTGCAGGACTAAATCAACAAATAGTTCATTCCACACACCTCCTCAGCTACTTTATCGAGAACTTGCAATATTCCACACCTTTCTGTCGAGAATTTGTTACCCAGCTTGTGTCCGAAGTATTTCTGTGTTTGCGTAGTACAGGTCATTTCTGCTGGAAGGTCTATATATTTAAGGTAATTATAGTGTGACTGGCCGCCTACAAAGTGTTTTTCTCACTTGTGCAATTGGGAGAAAAGTGATCCTCGGGTTACATGAATCCCAATTTTTCAGGCTCTGCCCTCCTTCTCGCCCACTAAATTATGGGATACATTGATCCAAAGGTCTTATTACAGCACCTACAAATGGAGAGCAGTGGTTTCCAAATCAGCTTGTGTGCAGCAGTGAGTCATGTGGCTCCGAGGAATGTCTGATATGTATGCAGCAATCTGTATTACAGTGCTTTTAATCTCATGAGTCATGTTTACAAGTGTATTCTATTTCTCAAGAAGCTTCTTTTCCAGATAACAACTTTGTTTATTTTTAATTGTTGTCTGGAGAATATTCCCCTTGTTGGAAATTTTTATTAAAAATTATTCAATCTTCTTAATGTCAGTCCAGGTACAGTGACATTTCCCCCACTTTATATCTTATAACTTGTAGTTATCACAAATGACCAGCAGAGGTCACTGTTGGAACTTTCTCCACAGATTATAGGGAAAAATTGTACAATTTTTTTWATATTTTAAATAGTTTTGTGTAAATAAATAACAAACACACAGATGYAGAAACACGCAGTATGAATTTGAATCTTTGTATAATAACACGTGATTTGTTCAGGTATGAAATGCCTACAAACATTTTATAAAAAACATATTTCCTCATTGATTTTACATACGTGGATAAAGATAAAGTTATGCACATTCTGATTCCATTTCAYAACTTGAGATATCATGCTCAGAGTAAATGTGAATGACTCTCAGATTCAACCGTATCAGAGTTTAGCCCTTTGTTCATGAAATTGACCGAGTTACAGTCATTTTTGTGTTCTCAAACGTCGATTAGCTGTGAGAGACGTCATGAAATGTATTGACTCCAAAAGTTAATCAGTTATATATATACATCCAGTGATACTTTTCTAAGAGTATTATTAAAATTTGTCTGGTGGTTGATGAGATATTTTGCTAAAAGACAGACGATGATGAGAAATACGGATTGCATCATTTCTTTTATGAAGCATGTCCTCCTCCCCTCAAAGTTTATTCAGTTTTATACATTTAGATCCTTTTGTTCAAACGAAATAATAGCATAAAATTTAAGTAAATGTTTTTAATTACATAACATCACTGAAGATAAAGTGACTGGATATTTTTTCTTGCTGTAGCATATCATACTATTTTTAATATGCTGGGAATCCCCACATATAAAACATATCAGTGCACATTTTCTGCTTAAGTTTAAGCAGTTGTTTTATTGTATTATCTTAATAAGTTCCTGTTGTTTTTATATAAAAGTGAAGCACAGCGTATCAGAAACCTCACAGCTCTAAATAGAAATGTGTGAGTAAATCATAACTGTCCTCTAAAACCACAGGCCTGCAGCAGAAACTTCTAAAAATGCAGAATGACGTTAATTTCGTGTTTGCGTAGGTGCTCTGTTAACGTCAGGATCAGGTCAGCAGACCACAGTAAACTGTGTGCTGGTAATCAACTCCTGATCCCCTCGGTTCAAAGGTCAAACGTCTCTCCGGTTTCCCTTGTTTCGAGTTCCCGAGCGCGTCTGAACCGGACCGCCTGGGGCAATGGATGAACTGACAGCAAAGAACTGAAACTTTGTGAGAGGGGAGCTCATTTCACACAGGCTGCATTGTTCATTGTTGAGTTCGCTCCACACAGCTGAGGCTTTCATGGGCCACAGCTTGAAGACGAGGCCTCGTAAATCAAGACAGGAGCTTAACATTATTTTCAAAGGAAGTAGTGGGGTTTGATTCCAACACAATTCAATTAGATCAGGTCAGTGCCTATGTGTGGTATTGGAAAGAGGATAATCAAAAAAAACTAGACATGGGTTTTTACTATGTAAAAACAAGTGTGCATTGCCTTGTAGCATGTCATTGCCTGCAGCAATGGACTTGCAGAATGAACTGACCAAGTTCAAATGTGTTTTCTAATAAAGCTTGTGGCTGTCAGCAGGTGTTTATAATGAGGGTAATTGTGTGAAAATATGAAGTTAGAATAATTTTTTTGTTAAACTTATTGTAGCTGGGATTTGAACCCTGATCTCCCACATGAAAGGCTATGACATTAACCACAAGACCATTGGTGCTGGGAGGAAGTACAATCCCAGTGTTGTTTTCTATGTGTGTAGAAAGAGGCAACATTGCCAATGACGATCGTTGACAAAGAACTGCATAATATTACAACAGTAGAACAATGTTATATAAAATGTTTATGCTTATAAGACAATAATATAGTAATACATCAAATTACATATATATCAACATTGTAATCACTGCAATAATTGAGATTAAATATAATTATTAAACTATGGTGCAGTTCCATACTGAGTAGATACAGCAGGGGGCAGTATTGGACCAATACAAGGTCCATTGACTCCCATTATAATTAATTAAACATTAATATTTCAAAAATTATAAGTTGTACAGGCACCAAAAGGCATAGCATCATTTGGCACAGGGGCTTTACAGATATAAATT